CCCCCCCCCCCAGACTTGGATCTGCACGGGTGCGCTGACCTGCCTCTTTCTTCCCCAGGTATGGAGAGTGCAATCACGCTGTGGCAGTTCCTGTTGCAGTTGCTGCTGGACCAGAAACATGAGCATCTGATCTGCTGGACCTCCAACGATGGTGAATTCAAGCTCCTCAAAGCAGAAGAGGTGGCCAAACTGTGGGGACTGCGAAAAAACAAAACAAACATGAATTACGATAAGCTGAGCAGAGCCCTGCGATACTATTATGACAAGGTAAGCCCTTGCCTTCCATGAGTCTGTCTTGGGGGGAGGTGGAGCGCCACCTCCATATTTCATTGTTGAAAGCAGATAACAGTGTCCTGTGAAGCAAGTTGGAAAATGAAATAGAGGCAGTTTGTGCAGTTTCTTGAGAAAAACTGTCCTACAGGTATTTTTCCCTGGACACCCTTTGGGTGTTAACTCTGGGTCAAATTTTGTTCCCTCTGCATTGTCATCTGTAGTTGCTGCAAAACGTTGCCGACAGCAGAAATTAGATGTCGGGAGGTTCGGGGACTTCCCTCATGGTTAGTTGCTTGAGTGGCAGAATGGATGTTAGAATCTAGAAAATCTGTTTATCCCATCTGGTTTGTAGTTCCCACAAACGGGCCTTTTCCTGGGGGAGTGGAAGCTTAGGCAAGTTATGTAACTATTTGGCACTTCTGTGTCCTCATGTATAAAATTGGGGACCCTAGTAGTACCAGCTCAGGATTGCTGTGAAGACTAAACGAGTGTCACATGGTCAGGACTTAGAACATGGTCAGGACTTAGAATAGGGGTTCGCGGCTTTGTGGGACATGTCCCTAATCAAAAGAAAAAAACATTTTCATTTTCTAAGTCACACAGATGAGTCAGCAGTCTTTAACTGATAACATAGCATCGTCGTTGCCAAAGCCAGGACCGTTGGGGTGCGTTTTAATGCATTTCTGGAAAAGCAGTTAATGGGCCTGTTAGGGGAAAATTATTGCTATTTAGGGTGATCACTTCAGGCCGGCTTTTGTTGACCGTGTCTGTGTGGCTCCGTTGTTGCTGCATAGTTAGCCTCATAGACATAAAGACTTGGAGTCCTAATAAGGGTTAGCCTCTGCTCTGGTTTTACTGTTCACTTTGAAAAGTGAATTGAAAACTGATTTAAATATCAGCTCCTGATCTATATTTAGTGCCTTCCTTCTGTCAACCTCTTAGGAATTCATGACAAAAGGATTACACGTTTCAGGAAGTGGTGGCATCATTAATTATAAAATGTTCCTTCATATGATCATAATTGCATATGATTATGTCATTGAAATGTTCAAGGTGCTTTCCTTTAATGTGGCAATTAATTAATCCTGCCTTGCTGCAGAGCCCTACTAAGATGTAAAAGCACTCCTCTGCAAATTGCACTGTCTGGCCGCCTGGCAGATGGTTTATTGTTTTGCATTTTCCCCAGGCTCTAAGTTGTACAGTGGGAATTGGAGCCCTCCGAAGGAACATAGTCATCTTGCCTGCTGGCAGGGGGCCTAAAAGCGTGGCTTTGAGATTAAAAAAAAAAAATCATTGTTTTAAATTAAGGTGTCAAAGAAAAGGAGTCCTGCCTCCATGCCTGTGACTCGGTTCCATCTCCTCGCGTCTCCTGGGTATCAGGCTAAGGACTGTGTGTCATCAGCACGAAAGGAGATCATGGGCTGCAGATGACACCGCAAAGCCTGGCAAAGCCATTGCTGTGTAGGCTACACCTGATCTCTCTTGAGCAGATTTTTTTAATCTCCAGGGGACGCTGTTTCGGAGGCGTCAGCCTCCCAGCATGTTTTGGTACTTTGTGTCGAAGGCACTGGGCTGAGAGCTTCCTAGCCCTCTTCTCCTTTAAACAGCAGCAGCCCCTCTGAGACAGTCCTGCCAGCACACACCTGCTCCTTTTATAGATGAGGATGTGGGGCTTTGATGAGAAATCCTTCCCAAGCTCCTGCAGCCAGGAAGTGGTCGAGTTAGGGTGCCCACATTCTTGGCCAAAGGGCACACACCCTGCTTTCTGGGCCTTTCATTTCCTTTGCCTCTGAACACCTGAGTTCCAGGTAGGCAATGAGGCAGCACAAAGGGCATTGCAACCTTAGATGTTTTT